TGGTGATGACTAGCTGTCTTCTCTCTAGCCTTTCACTGCTAAATTAGGGACGGCTAGCGCAGATAACTCTCGAGTAACTTTGCGCGAAATTCAAAAAACAAACAAACAAACAATTGATTTGTTAGGAAGATTTTTTTGTAGAATAAAATATTTTATTCGTAGTATTTTCATAAGTATATTCACATGCTTAGTGCTTGGGCACACTCACTTCTTAGATATTTGTTCAATTTTGATCAGTGTGATGTTCATTCTGTTACTGATATTACAAAAGATATTCATTCTGTTACTGATATTACTAAAGATATTCATTCTGTTACTGATATTACTAAAGATATTCATTCTGTTACTGATATTACTAAAGATATCCATTCTGTTACTGATATTACTAAAAATATCATTTCGTGTTATGTTTTTCAAATGTTTTACCATTTGTGTTTTTCTATTTCTGTTTAAACCAAAATATTTTATTTTCTGGCCCAATTGGATTTTGGCTAAACTATCTTGTCGTCTTGCTTGTCGTCCAACAAAGCTATACCCATTGCAGGGATAAAACTCGAAATTGTAGCGTTATAAACCCTCAGACTTCCCTAAAGTGACTTAGTGATATATTGTGTAAAGCTTGGTACTTTGACTGATTTCACATCCGACGTACAACATGTAGTTACGTTGAATAATGGACAACTTAGTACAGCTGTCTTTCATGTAATCCCAAGGATGCGGGTCACGGTTAATATGAATGGTAGCCACGTTGACGAGTTTAAAATTCGATCTACAATATGTAGCCATGTTTATAAATGAATATCTTCCTACAGATGTTTTTCATGTAATTTCAAGGATGCGGGTCATGGTTGACATGTATGGTAGCAATATTTGATATATCCACCAATAATTATTTTCTCTATGAAATATAATATTCATTTTATTAATGCACAAATACACCAATAATCTTTATGAGAATAAGAATTCTGCATATACGGAAGATAAAAGACAAAGAAATTAATCAAAGCGGTTACCTTTATAAAGGGATATTGATTTTTTGATGAGATTGCATGATATTAGCTAGCTAATTATTGGAACACGGTGTAGTTCGTCTAATTTCGGCTTGTTCTCGTCACCTCACAGCTGTTTTCATTACCATTAAGCAAGGCAGGCATTCGGCTACTGAACGAAGATATTGAGGACGATAGCTTCATTTTTATCAACAGGGATAAGCAGTTTTCTTGTTACTAGATGGGTAAAGAAAATTTAAGTAGGATGGGTTGGTGACATAAACGCGTCCCTAAAAGAGAGCTATTCAAGTATAATTGACGAAATCATTCTAGTTATGTATTTTTTGCACTCGAAATATTATTTTCACGTACTACGTAAGCCTTAATATTGGACAAATGACGGAACTAACATATTTTGTATGCTTTCGTTTTATTTGTTATTATTATGATATTAGGATTTAGTGTAGTATTGTACTCTGAAAGGCTTTATTCTGTAACAAATTTGTGTCTCACAATCTTCGAGAAAAGCGTCATAAACATATTTGCAGTGCTATTTGTAATTGTTTTTATTTCCCTGGGAAAACTTTCATTAAGTGTATGTCTAGCATTTCATGGCGCCTTGAATGCCAGTCAACTATGTTTCCCTTAGGAAACCATACAAGGATAAGAATGAGGCCTATTTTTTATATATATTCTTTTCAGAAAATCACTTTACGTTTACTGCTTTGTGTTAGCTAGTTCTTCATATTCGTTATTAAGCTATTTTTCTCAATTATAATTATGTTATTTTCTATCATTTTTTGCCCTAGTTAATGTAAGACTTTTTTATATTATTTCCACACTACAAAAGATGATATTTGTCCCTTACATAATTTACATATCCATTATTATAGGAACTAAGAATGTTTCGATTAAAACAAAACCATTACTTCTTCTATAATATCTGAAGAATGAAAAAATCGAGGCCGTATTTTGTCTTGTTACAAAAAATTGTTATTTTCAACCTGAACGACACCTTGAGTTAAATGACTAAGTATATGTTTCAACTACAGTTAACCCTAATTTTGAACTATTAACAAGAGGGTAGGCAGCAAACAAGGAACACAGGGACTCTATCTGAACGGAGTATTGTGACTGATTGTTACTTCTGTAATGCGCTTACAGTTGAGTGTTGAGATTGCTCTAACCCCGAACTGAACCCTAGGTCGATACCCCTGACGTGCCATCCACTAGGCAACGCCAGGTTCTACAATATACGGAAGTTCAAACTTAGTGTTTTTTAACTCCTGTTGGGCTACGTCATAAAGAAACGATAGCAGCATTTTTTTTTATGTGCATATCTATCCTATGTTTCTCTACACCTTTGCTACAGTTTTGAAAGTATTCATAACAATGATTGACATAGCTAATTTCTCTAACATGCCGAAGATAAAGTTTGTTAAAACTAGATATTAATTGTTCTACCGTATTTGCTACTCATTTACATATAAGCATAAATCATACAATCTATTATAAAATATTTCCATGGTTTCTATTGTTCTTCTACAGTATTTTTAGGGCAAGTCTTAATCAAATGGTAAGACTATCAGAAGGTCCAAGGTTGGAACTGCGATATCTAATATAAACTAACTGTTCTGCAATTTCTCGTAAAGTGTTATAACTGTGACAGTCCACTCCCACTATTTGGTTAGGAAGAGCAACATAGACAGTAATTCTGAATTAAAGATGGTTATGCCTGAACCTCAGTGGTTTCTAGCATGAATATTCATCTCATGCGTAACGTAAGGTCTGTTCAAGTTGAAATTACCGTTGACAATATTCACAATATTGTTCAGCCAAAGTCACATGAACAATATAGGGAACTAAAGTAATTTCTCTTCCCACATCTTAGCAATTACTGCCACATCTTAGCAATTACTGCTACACAACATATGGACGACTATTTGTTTGTTTGTTTGTTTTTGAATTTCGCGCAAAGCTATACGAGGGCTATCTGCGCTAGCCGTCCCTACCTTTGCAGTGTAAGACAAGAGGAAAGACAGCTAGTCATCACCACCCACCGCCAACGTTTGGGCTAGTCTTTTACCAACGAATAGTGGGATTGACCGTCACATTATAACGCCCCCACAGCTGAAAAGGTGAGCATGTTTGGTGTCGTGGAGATTCGAACCTGCGACCCACAGATTGCGAATCGAGCTCCCTAACCACCTGGCCATGCCGGGCCCAATGGAAGACTAATATTATGAAAATGACAAACATTTTTTATCCTTATGTTTTTATTTTTAATTAGCCTTTAAAGATTGTATCAAAGCGTGAAATAACTCACTTGTAGGGAAAACAATTTCTACAAATAATCTAACAGTAGTAATGTGTTAGGAAAACGAAAATATTAAAATAGTGGATGAATAACGATTTTATTTTAATGAGATCTGAGACCTAAATCAGTTTTTAGTAATGTTTTAATATTATTTTTTAATGTATTAATCTCGTTAAAGACGAAAATGATATACTTATAAGAATCTTTGAAATAAATATTATGTGAAGTATTGAATAAATTATTTTTAAATGTCTGTTCAATACATTAAGATAATTGTTTGGGTTTCAGCATCCTCACTATAACGATGAAGTAGATAAGATTTGTGGTTACCATACCGAAACGTTACTTTGCATGCCTATAAGAAATGCTGATGATGAAATTATAGCTGTTGCTCAGGTAATTAATAAGAATCCCGAAAACGACGGAGGGATATTTACCGCAGAGGATGAGAAGGTAAGGTAAAATAGTAACTAGAGGCTGTTTTCTACGTCATTTCCTGACTAGAGTGTGTTTTCTAAGTCATTTCCTGATTTAAAAAAAAACAAAAGCAATAAATATTTCTTGGTAAATCTGTTTTAGTAAAGTCTCAGCGATGATTGTTGTTGTAACGAACTTATATATAACAACATGTAAATCAGGTGAAGATTCGTATGTTCTGACATCATTCTTAATCACGTGAAGATTACAATATGTCGTTTTATGAATGAGGTTTTTAAACGTTTTTCTCTTTCTTACACAATACACTAAGAAACATTTTGATTTGTTGTTATAACGTATTCTTTATATGTAAGCAGTTTTGCGCTTCAGTCTGATATTTTTATTCAAAAATGAAACACGGAAGTAAACAACAAACTTTAAAAAAAAAGGTAATGGTAGGGATGGTTAATATCAATCCTTCAAAAATAATGCAAACAGGATAGTAAGGATAGCATTTGCGTGTAGTAAAATGTTAACAGACAAAAATAGGATAAATTAAACTCAATTGTGATGGAATAGTTATATATATTGTTATATGTTAATTCTTGCCTGTGCTATTGTGTAGGGATCATGCAAATGCCATCCCTACTATACTGTTTGCATTCGTTTTGAAGAAATGATATTAGGCCATCCCTACATTTACTTCGTTATTTGAAAAGTTAAGTTTTTTCTTTACTTGTTTGCTTGTTTTTTTAATGCAGTATTTCAATAGACATAGGAAGGTTGTATTTATAACCAAGTTCTAAATAAAATGAGGTTCCAACTGTAATATTTATTGTTTATCAGGCAGGCGGTAGCTCTGTTTATATAGGGACGGCTCGGATTGTTCATCGAAATGGTGTATTAAACATTTTCTCAACAGGTCATCAGAACTTTATAATACTATACAGTGTTTCCTTTTATAACAATATCTATGTAATGAATGAGCCACAAGTTCTTGGAATGTCTGTAAATATCACAGCAAAAAGTTTGAATATCTTGTTCTTCTTCTTTTTTATTACATAACTCAAAATCAAAACAATGGGGTCAATTAATTTCTCTGAGGTGATATAGTTTCAAACGGAGTATCCGCTTTTATAAGTATTATTAATAACTATTAGTAATTTAAAAAAATCATGATTCTTGTGTAAACGATGTTATCATTACCCCTAGAAGTTAGCTTTTCTCGAGAATTCTGATGTTCCTTTAAAAAGCTTAAGT